GGCTCAGGACAAAGGCAGATTCATAAATGTTCAGGAACCCTAGGTATCAGTCAAACCTACTAAGCTAAGGCCACACTACTAAAACACACTTCTGGTGAGGCAGGCTGGAAGAGGCAGGAAGTGTAGCTGGGGCCCTGTCGGCGGCCAGCATCACAAACCCAAGAAAAGGCAGCCCAGAAAGCTGGAGGGAGGACACCCAACAAAATAGCCAAGGCTCTCGAGACCTTGGTCTGTCTTAGAGAGAAGCGGGGCGCCCCAGGAGGCCCTGGGCGCATCTCCCCCAAGACACCACACCGCCGTGGTGCACTTGGCTTGGGGCTGTGCTGACCCCCTCCCTGATTTTACATGTGCAGTTCCAGGTGGGCACTGGCTCTGTGTCTGGGAGCCCAGGTGCCTATCCAAGGGGTCCCCCCCACCGGCTCGTAACATGGGGATCCCGAATAGAAGAGAGTAGAATGGAGTTGGAAAGGAGCCCTTTTTATTTTTTTTTCTTTCACCCAGTTTTTATGATGAAACCTAGAAAATTAAAAAGTTGAACAGGCACAGAGTATCTAAAAGGACTCCAGATTGGATGTATTACTGTCATCGTCTGAATGACCAGGATGGCAGGCGCCATCTTTCTCTCCTCTGCTCTTGCTTCTGATTCTCACAGATGCTCCTGTGATCCAGGAACCTCAGCCCCAAACCAGCCTGGGTCTCACACAGCTCAGACCTCTTAATCCAGGGTGGGAGGTGACAGCACTGCCACCCCCCACACACACACACACACACTCTGTTACTGCTCTGAGTGCCCCAGACCTGGACAGCTTCCCTCTACCGAAAGGCATGGGGCGACCTCGCTGTGCACAAACATCCGCTTTCAATATTGACACAAAACCAGCTACAGACCATGATCACACCCAATTTCTTCTTAGAATTCCCAACAGCCCCTCAGGAAAAGAAGGTAGGTCTAGGGACCCTCGGCTAGGCAGGCCTGCCTCTGCCCTGGCTGGGCAGTCCCCTTTGGGCCTGGGATGGGGGCTCCAGGACACAGGGTCACCATCCCCTTCTCTGTGTTTGCTCACAGAAGCAGCCTGGTCAGAGTCAAGGGCTGCAGGTGGGCATGAAGAGCGATTTGATTCCAGGCTTATCTCACCGCCACCTGCCACCTGTGAAGGACCCTGAGATGAAGCGATAACACTCACCCCACCTTCCCCTTTGCTGCTGCAAAAGTGTGCCCTTGGGAAGGGGAGCTGAACTTAGACCTTCCAGGTGAGCCCCATCCCCCCAGCACAATGCCCTTCCCACCCTAAGGCCAACACCTGGAGCTACAAACCAGTGAGCCACCAGCAATCTTCAGAGTACTCATCCACACACAGGAACCCTTTGCACTCTGATCTTTGTCCTGCAGGTCAAATGCTATCTCAGCAGAAGGGATGGCCTGGAAGGCAGGCTTCTGGACCCTTCCCCATCCCTGTTGCAAAGGGGTTGCTTGGAAATATTCATCAAACACCTACTTTGCACCAGACATTATTGAAGGGGCCATAGATTCAGAGGTGACCACTGTGGCCAGCCCCTCTCTCAGTGCTAAGCCCACAGTGGTCATCCGTCTCACTGATGGGGACAGGAAGATAGGCACATGTACTCGACAGGGTTCGTTCTGCTTGCACTGGCAGCCGGCATTCGAACCACCTGGTGGCCATGTCCAGCATGAGACATCAGTGCCCACCAAGAGTCCACAGAGCCCCTCCCTCCAAGGCTCACCAGTGGGCAGCTAGGTGCTGGGCACCACCCCCATAAAGATGCCATCTAAAACACAGGCTACTTGGTCTAATTTGCATGTCAGATCATCAGTGAATAAATTTAAGGCTTAAGTGTACACCAAATGTTTTGTGGGACATAGTCACACTAAAAATGAATCCTTGCTTATCTGGAATTCACATTTAACTCATCATCTGAAGAGGCCAGGGGGAGCTGGATGGAGAGTAGAGAAGAGAGAGGGCTGCTCCAACTCCCATCTAACCCACCCCTCAGCCCCCAGAAATGTCCCACAGTGGAAGGGGCCAAGGGGAAAGCTGAAGGACTTGGTCCCCGTGTTTACACTGAGTTGCACAGCTCAGCCCTGCTCTCAGGCCTGAGACACACACAATGACTCTCCAACCACAGGCACAGAGTCAGAAGCCTCCCTCATCGGACCTGCTTCAGGCTGACCTTTGCCCAGGAGGACACCCAGCAACCCCTGTGGCAGGAATCACCAGGACACTGGGGGAATGAGGAACTCCCAAAGGGTGGCTGGGCTGCAGAGAAGCTGATGTGAAGAGGCCAGGAAGTCAGATGCAGAAACAGACAGCCAGAGGGAACAAGAGGCCAGGGGAAAGAAAACCCAGGGGTCACACCAGCCAGCTTCCAGTTCCTAGGATTAGCGTCCTCCAGGCCACCGGGTCCCTTGCAGCGGTCACACCCCCAGGGGAGAAGCTCTGCTCTGGTGAGGGGAGGGAGGGGAGGCAGGGCTTGGAGAGCGAGGGGAAAACTGCCCAGCTCCATCACAGTGACCCCCACCAGCGACTGCAGAGAGACAGCTGCAGGGAACCTTGAATGTCAGCATTCAGGGCCACACACCCATCCCTGGCCACTCTGCTGTTGACTCACTTCCCCGAGTAGATGTTTCTTTAGGGACAAATGGACCCTGAACCACAACAAATGTCCCAGCCCAAAGGACAGCCGTAATTTTCATGACATTGACCTTGTAGTTGTCAGGCTCTCCCGCCAGCTACTTGAAGGCAACTCAGTCTGACACCCTCAAACTGCTTTATATGCAACAGCGCCTTCATGCAATAAGCAAAACCCACATGAATGCAAATTTGCCAAGTACAGTAAGGCCAGTCCCGTCATTCTCCGTACTCAAAATGCGCTAAGAAAATAACCGTCCCATCACCTTCTGAAGGCCTCGATATTGCATACTCTGGGCTGGGCCTTGTGATCTGGGAGGTGACGCATTTCCTCCTTCTACATGTGAAATGAGTGTCCCCGCCTCTGTTTGGACCTGCCCTCCCTCGTTCTTCTCCACCCCGCCACCCCGCCAGCCCCACTGGCCTCCCTGCTGTTGCTGGAACCTGCACGCTGGCCCCATCCATGGTCTTCGCATAGCTGATTCCTCCTTGTCTCTGTCACCTTCTCTGTGACCCCTTACCGCTCCATCTAAATGGCCAATCAGCCACTTCCTATCAAACCACTGTGCCCTAATTGTTTGCACAGCACTCCATGCAATTTGATATTCCTCTTGGCAGATGGATGGACGGATGGACAGATGGACAGATGGATGGGTTTTCTGTCTGTTTCACCCAGAATGGAAGCACCAAGAGAGAAGGGCATTGCTTGTTCGCCACGAGGAAACTGATTTAAAGGGAAGAAAAATTTATTGGACTTGTGGCTTCCAAGGGTCCCATCCATGGTCCCTTGGCTCCACTGTTCTGGAGCCTCATGGGAACATACAGCATCAGGACAGGGAGTGCATTGTGGGGCAAAGCTGCCACTAGGAAGCAAAAAGACAGTCAGACAGACAGACAAGGGCTTGGGGTCCCCATATTCCCTTCAAGGGCACGCCCCACATGACTTAAAGGCCTCTCATTGCCCCCACCTCCTAACAGGCCACCACCTCTTAACAGGCTGCTGATCAGGCTGGCCTTGAGCTCAGTTTGTAGCCCAGGCTGGTCTGGAACTTGCAACAATCTTCCTGCTTCAGCCTCCTGGAGTGCTGGGATTACCAGGAATGCGCCACCACACCCTGCTCTTGCAGACCAAGTCTTTAGCATAGGAAGCTTCAGGGGTCATTTAGGATCCAAATTGTACAGCAGGTGCTCAATAAATATTTTTTAAAGAATTCAAAGCTGGAAGAAGACTTCAAGAACTATAGTTTTGCATCCTTGGCTTCTTCAGATGAGATGAGACTTTCACAGCATGACCACCACCCCCTCAGCCGGTGTCTCATCTTCTCAGGCTGTGCCCTCAGCAGAAATCCATCTCCTCACAGTTCCAGGGGCCAAAGTCCAAGGCCCATGTGGCACCCTGCCCGTCACTGCATCCTTACGGGGCCTTTTTCTCTATGCTTGAGTCCGTGGAGAGAGAGAGACAGAGAGACAGAGAGACAGAGAGACAGAGACAGAGAGAGAGAGAGAGAGAGAGAGAGAGAGGTCTTGTTCTCTCTTCCCTTCTTATGGGGACCCTGGTGCTCCCAGATCAGGCTCCACCCTCAGGACCACACATTTCACCTCCCTGCCTCCCAACAGCCCCATCCCTAGTATAGTCACACTGGGGGTCAAACTTCAAGCAGCGACTTGGACAGAGACAAACTCTAGATGCCCCAGATGGGAAGCCATGTCCACAGCCGCTGTCCTGACTGCAGGGCCAGCTGGGGTGGCTGCCACAGAGCTACTGTCCACTCCCTTGTCACCAGCAGTGACATGGGGCCGGCTGCAGGTGTTCGGGGTGGGGAAATGGCAGCTCTGTCTGCACATCCTGCCCTGGTCACCCTTGGTCCCTCACCTTCCCTGCCCTTCTTGGTGCAGCAGAAGGGCTGACGGCTGCAGGCTGCGGGTTCAGGCTCCCTGGTCTGCTGGTTTGGGGGCTGCCTGGGACTGGGGGGATGGGAATGAGAAGACAGGAGCAGGGAGAAGCCAAGGCGTCTCCCCTCACCTCTAATTTGCCTGGAAAGTGTCCACAGCAGCAGGTTTTGGCTCTGCTGTGGCCTCAGCTTCTGCTTGGGAGCCTGCCCTGGCCCCAGTTCCCACAAAAGGGCCCCTGGCCCTTGTTCTGTGGGAGCAGGACTCCCTTCACCCAAGCCTCTGATCTGGGGTAGGGAGGCCCCTGCCCATGGCCAGTGCTAATTCCCCAAACACACCAAGGGCACTTCACCCCCAAGGATCCCTCTCAAGGCACTCGGGAGGCACTCTAACCACACGTTCACATGGCCAAAAGTTTTCTGTGAGATTCAAAGACAGAAACTATTTTAACTACAGTTGGTTAAAGTCACAGTTTATTTCCACTCTAAGTTCCTGCCCAGTCCACCTTCTCCTGGGTGAGATGGCAGTGAAGGATCGTTAGCATCTGGAGACGCCTGCCAAGGAGAAGCTGGACTGGAGAGCTGTTTCGTTTGGCTTGAGTGGGGGTATATTTATGTAGTTCCCAGCTATTTCCCTGTGCAGCTCAGTGACGGCCTGCCATCTCAAGGTAGAAACGGATTCCAGGAACACTCCCTCCTCGCCCAGATCCGGTTCCAGCTACCATGCAGAATCCAAAACCATCAGACAAGAACATGTCCCGCAGTGCCTGGCGCCGGAAAAATGTGGGCAGGGGGAAGTGGTGGGGTTTGGACTGTGCAGAGCCCGGAGTTAACCTACGGAAAATTATTCCCACCACCAGAGGTAAGCTGTAAGCAAAGGATTCTACTCTCCTCCATGCCAAGTCAAAACAAAACGTCTCCCTGATCAGAAGTAAAAGCAGTGATGTACCAGATCAATCACAGAGGCCTCGCCCCTCACCGTTTCCCTCTTCTTGGGGATCCCACACTGAGCAGAACTTAGGAGAAGCTTGGATGTGTAGGAAAAGAAACTGCAGCAGAGGGTGGGGATGTCACTCGGAGGTAGAGTGCTTGCTTGTCGTGTGTAAGACCCTGGAGCCAACACGTTCACTTACACCGCAGCAGCGACCTGCCACAGGCTGTGTTAACCTCCATAGTGGGGGCGGGGCACTGGACATCAAACCCAGAGCCTCTGAACTAACTCCCCAAGCTTTTAAACTTCTTTCATTTTTAGACAGAGAGTTTCACTATGTAGTGCAAGCTAACCTTGAACTCACTACATAGCCCAGGCTAGCCTCAATATTGTGAGCCTCCTACCTCAGCCTCCAGAGTGCTGGGGGTCACAGGAGTGTACCCAGCTAATTGTTTTGAGACAGGCCCTTCCAAAATTGTCCAAGGAGCCAGGCATGGTGGCCAGCCTGGGTTACATAGTGAGTCCAGGCCAGCCTGAACTGCATAATGAGGACTTCAAGGACTTCTGGCGACCCTGTCAGATCCCGGTACAGGCCGAGACCCAGTCACACAAGGAGCTATCAGCCCACCACAGGGGAGCACTATACTAGCAATGAGAGCTAGCTGAGCACCCCCCAGAGCCTTGGGTGCTCCATAGCACAGGAGGCTTCTGGACAGACACCCAAGGCACCCAGCCCACCCAACTTTATCAGGTCCCTGGGCTGCAACCCGGGGCTATGCCACAGAGAGGGAAGGGACAAGACTGGCCAGACCCGAAGGAGGATGGCTGAGGCACGGGCAGAGAGATGGTGACAGCCCTGTCTACTGTCCTGAGGAACTGGAAGGTTCCAGAAGAAAAGGGTGCACAAATACGTGATTAGCAGGATGAGTGGTCACCAACTAAGGTACCTGGTCCATCTCCCCAATGGGGCATTTGGGCTGCCCCAGGGAACTGGAGCCCGCTCCTGGGGTACAGGTGCACCTTGAGGGTGGGGAAGGAGCCGCAGGTGCTAAGTGGCAGGTGGCGTCTGCTGTCCACTAGATACATTAATAAAAAGCTGTGGTCTGTTATGGTTTTGCCAGCAACTCCAGGAGTGCTAGAGAAGAGATTCATCTTGGCTAATGTCTCCTATAATTAACTACTGAAACACACACAAGTGGCCTCCCTGTGACCGTTACTGAAGACAAAAACAGCCACAAAGCAAGTGGACCCAAGAGTTTATTTGAAGATGGCAAGCAGGGGGTTGAAGCTAGCACCCGGCCAGCCCGCATCCCACAGCTATGAGGAGCAGCTTGCATCTACCTCACACTGCAGCATCAAGACGGCACAGTCAGACCACAGTCCACAGCAGCAGACCTCTTCCAGAAGCGGCTGCAAGCACAGGTCAGTAAGTTTTTTTTTTTTTTTTTTAATTTAAGAGGAAAAAGAGAAAAACACAAAACAAACCAAAGCGGCGTAAGGGTACACGCAATACAGAACTACAAAACAAAACAAAACAAAACAAAACAAAAAACCATAACAGTAAGAAATTACCTGCTAGTAGATTACACACTATTTTCTTGAAAATAGTTCCTCAAATCACAGTATCAAAGAACACAAGGTGGACATTCAAACAGGGAGACTGCAAACAGCTGTGTTCAATGTTCCAAAAACATTGATAAAGTCAGCTATTTAACACCCCCAAACACACTTGCTGTTATATCCGTTAGAGCTCTTTTTCTTTTTTTTTTCCCTCTCTTTTTTACAACAAAATTTACACATCTTGGATTTTATTACTCCTTAGTGCTTATTACTTTCTTTGGGGGGGTGGGAAAACAGCTTTTTTTTTTTTTTTTTTTTTTTTATCGGTACCCGGGATCGAACTCACGACCTCCTGCTTGCAAGGCAGGTGCTTATGCCACTGAGCTAAATCCCCAGCCCCACAGGTCAGTAAGTTATGAGCCATTCACCTCCAAAGCCATTAAAGTGGTCATGACGGGCCATTCCTGAGATCTAGTTTCCCGTGAAAAGAGCAGAATCAAATATTAAATAGCAAAATCTAAGGGGAACACATAGCTCTGAAAACATGTTCTGTACCTTTGACAATTCAGTAACTTGCCGTGCACATGTGGGGACAAGCCCTGAAGGGGACTCAGAAGGAAACGTTACAACCCCTGGAAAGGCTGCATTTTCCCTTCCAGCTTCCTGGTCTCATTATTTGGCAATAAGTAATAATATACAACCGACAGCAGCCAACAATAATAAACAAAAAGAAGGAAAGAAGAAACACAGCGTGTTCTCGGTACAGAAAATGTTCCTTAAAAGACAAGAAGCAAAGATGCCAAGGCCTGGCAGGGAAGGGTTAACCCCAGCTACCCGAAAGCTCCGCTGTCTGGAATGCCACCCCCCCCCCAGCTGAGGAGGGCCACACCTTGGTGGGGGAGGCAGCAGGATGGCAACATTTTCGAGAAGTCACCCCAGCTTTCTCCCCCCACGCCACACCCATGGTGCTGCCACCTGGCTCTTGCTCCACCCCTGCTGCCCCCCTCTTTCTGTCTGCACGCCGGGCCACCTGAGTCACAGCCCCCTACACACACACATTCTACCTAATGGCTACAGAGCCCAAGTCACAGATCGCTAGGGAACTTTGCAACCAACTTCCTCAAACCCTCTGTGCGCAGTCCTTAGCAGGCTGGAAGACCAGAGGTTGGCTCTAACCCACTTCCAAGTGGATTGGGTTACGGGAGTGTTATCCCCCTGCTGGGATCTGATCCTGATGGAAACAGGAGCTGTGATTTACGGAAAGCCTATGAAAAGAGGCCCCAGGATGCGGATCCATTGATCTGAAGCACAAGGCCTCAGGCGGCCTGCCAGCTCACGGCCCAGCCCTCCCAAGTAACCACACTTACCTGGAGCCCAGCTCCAATCAGGAAGACAGCCGCTGCCCCAACACGCCTGGCCCGAGGAGGACCAGGTGCCGGGACACAGGGCTCAGGGGCTTCCTCAGCTGCTATCGGCTCCTGGCTCCAAATTCGGTGACAGGGGGACTAGAGACTCCCAGCCGTGACTGAGACTTCACCAGAGGTCCTGGGGGAACAAGGCCTCCCTAGGAGCCAGGAAGAGGCCAACACAACCCACCTTGGCAGGGACCAAAGCCATGTCCACCACCAGGAGGAAAGGCACCCCTGCCTGGGCCCTCCTTTCAAACCCCAAGCCAAGAGGTGTTGGAGGAGCTGGTGAGTCTGCAGCTCCGGAAAGATCTTTCAGGTTCTCCTCTTCTCTACCCCAGCACTCCAGGGCATGCAGGGGACACTGGGGCTTGGAGGATGACTTGGGTGCCTGCCAGAGAGGGCAAGGGCCACTCTGCAACCCAAAGCTGGGATTGTCTTTCGCTCCCCGTGCTGCTCCCGTTTCCTGTCCTGGAGGTTTTCAGGCTGCCGACTGTCATGCTTTGGAGAACCAGGTCAGCGGAGGCCTGGGACAAAGCTCAGTTATTCCAGGGCTGCCAAGAGGTCACTGACAAGCTGCCTCTGCGATAGCAGCTCGGTGTCCTCTTCAGTGCAGCTGTGAGTGGGCCTGGGCCCAGAGTGGGGAGAAGGAGATCAGGCAAAGAGAAACTGGGCTGGGAGCAGAGTGGCCCCTCCTCGAGGGACCAAGTTCAGGCCACCTTGCAGAGCTGGTGCCAAGAGCCATCAGGGAGCAGCCAGAACAGAGCCTGGTGCTCAGCAGTGCCCTACAGATGGTTCTAGAATGAATGACTGAATCCACACAAACAGTCAAGATGGGCCAGGACCTCAGGAGACTGGGCACAGCTGTCCCATCAGGGAAGGCACAGGGCTGACCAGCCTACCTGCTACAGGACACTTCACTGCGTCCAGGGACACTCAGCAGCCCACAGCTCTGATTATCACAGGACCCAGGACCTTGCCCCGTGGTGGCTCCCCACCAGGCCTCTGCACTCATGCAGAGAGACTCCCTTTGGTCCAAGCTTCCAGGGGATTCTGCTGGAGGTCTCTCCAGGAGCCCCCCAGCACAGTGGGGCCACATACATTTGTGTTCTTTACTGGAAGCGTCACTGGATCCTTTGATCCCCTATTAATCTCCTGACAACAGCCTAGCCTGGACAGTTTCTAAGGTAACAGCCCTAACAAACAGGTAGAGAAAGCCAGCCAGTCCCTCCTTCCCCACCCCAAAGACTCACACCCCTGGGGCTGGGACCTCTCTTTGGAGCCTTCTGCCCTCCCGCAGCCCCAGGGCCTGCTGGATTGGCCCAGGATCTGCTGCTCAGGGTCTGCTCAAGGCCCGGCTTGCCCTAGTGTGTCCTGAACTTTCCTTATCGGGGACATCTTAAGCAAATTGCACAGCCCACGCAACACTGCCCAGGGACAAACACGCAGAACAAGGCACAGCTTCTGGTCCAGCCATGTGGGGCCCTCAGGGCAGTCTGGGATGGGCAGGACAATCTCTAAGGTGGGCAGGCTCTGGCAGGGGACCAGGAGAAGGACACACAATGCCTCCTTCTGTGGAGCTACAGGTGGGACATCTTGCAGTTCCCACCTGGGAACTCCAAACAAACTCATGGTCCCGGGTCCACCTAGACATGGACCCCAGAGTGCTGCCCCTAAGTGACAATCTCGTGTCCCCTCTGCCTCTGCCCTGGCTTGCACTAGTCACACAGGGGCTCCAGAAGCTGTCTGAAGCCCTGGTTCACTATACTCAGCTCTCAGACCCGCTTTGAGGCCGGAGAGAAGCTGGCAGGCAGGCTGCCCACTGCACAGATGCTGTGGGCTAGGGGTGAGCATTCCTATCTGCCTGCTGCCCCTGTAGGAGACTGGCCCAGGACTCAGGCTTAGCCAGCTCTCACAACTGGGAATTCTCGGGGTGCCATGAGCCCCGTGGAACCACAAGATAGCTGCACCAGGAGGCTTTCTGCTGCCAGGTCCCCCAAACACACCAGAGCAAACAAGCTTGGACAAGAGGCAACAGGAACCAGAGCAGAGCTGCAAATGGAAAAGAGCCAGCAGCCCTGGTTCACACCCTTCCCTCCCTGTCACCCAGGGAGCCGACTCGGAAGTAAGGGTTCCTGGAGGGCACAATCCTCCTCTTCCAGGAGCACTGGCTGGGGTGGGGGAGCCTGCGTTCCCACTGACAGCCTTGCACACACTCCTGTCCAAGCTGCCTCCTCTGGGCACAGCCTCCTCCCAGCCAGGACTCTACAGAAGTCACCAGATCAGAACTTCAGGCGCCTCCCGACCCCCACAAAGGACCCCAGAGCAACTCCCAGGTACACAGACAGACACTCACCCCACTTCAGGGGCTGGTGGGCCTCGGCTCAGTCCTCTGCAGCCTGTCACAAGGGACTGGCAGGGAAGCCAGGGACACTGACAGATGTTCTAGGGGACCTGCATATGCCAGAGGTCCAAGTTCCAAATCCCAGGGACAGGAAGGGGGAAGACTGGCGCTGAGAGAAGCAGAAAGGGGCCAGGCCAGGCAAGGAGAGGCCAAGAAGCTCACAGAATGTCCTTGCTGGGTGGCACAGCCCCTCACCCAGTCGGTAACCATGAATATGGCTACAAGTCACAGAGCAGGCACCTCCAAGCCTGTCCATGAACAGAGTCTCTTAATCTAGTATCACCCCCGATAACAAATAAGCAAATGTGACACATGAGATTAAGTACCTGGTCCCCACGGTGGGAGGCGGCAGCCTGAGGTTTCGCTCCAAAACCCTGGCAACCCTAAGCACACACACTTAGCCACAAGGCCACACTGCCCAAGGCCGGCTATGACCCTGCCGCGTTGCAGGGGATGAGTGAGGCACACCAAGAAAAAGCCTGGAGCCACATGGGTACAGCCCCCACGCCCCTGACCTTGCACCCTGCACCCTGCACCCTGCTCCCTGCAGCAGCCGCACCTGGCCTTGGTTGGAAAGACTCTTCATTCTCCACAACTCGATTCATTCCCTGAGCTCCAGCTCCATCTCGCCTTCCCTAAAAGCTTTCGCCCTTCTGGGGTGGGGGCGCATATTTGCAGGCTGTAGTGCTGGAAGACAGGGGTGCACCTGCACCCTGTCTCCTGGGGAGCAGGACAGCAAGGACCACCCCTTATCGCCAGCTGGGTGCCTTGTCCAGCTCTGGCCACGTGTGTTCCATCACCCCAGTGTACTTCTCTGGGCCCACTCAGTCTAGGGAAAGACTAAAACCCTCCCTGGTTGCCCTTGGATTCTCAGACACTAGGGAGATTTCTAACATTCTTTGCTACTTTCCTTAATTTCATAGCGTTGGTGGCTGCAGAGGGGCCAGTCTGGCTTCAGCAAGTGATTCTACTTAGGACAAGCTGTCTGCAGCAGGCCAGGGACACAGGACACAGGGCCAAGAGCCCCTCTTCCCAGCACACCATCCCATACAACTGCAGGCCAGTGACCCAGCACCCCTGGGATCACTGCCAGGTGGGGAGCAGGACCTCCCTCTGCCCACAGTAGGGAGGCCCGCCCCTGTAGGTAAACAGCAGGAGCCACACAGCCTGCTTTTAAGTGAGCTGGCTCCCACCCACCCTATAAACTCCACTCCTTCCACCTCCTTCAACAAGTTTCAGCTTTAAAAAAAAAAAAAATGTACCTGAGTTGGAGGTGGGGTCAGTGTGGCAGAGAAGAGTAGGGGGCAGTGGCTGGACCCCCTTCCTAGGAGGCCCCAGACTCGGGACTTCCAAGTCTGCTATCACAGCAGCCCTTCTGGGGTCCCTTGGGGGAAATGCCAAGCACCTATGTTCTGGGAGGATCTGGGCACTCGACTTCCAGACCCCCAGCAGGAGATAAAGGGTCAGGAACCTAGGCCAAGAGCAAACACCGTCCCCTCCAGGCCAGAGGGCCCAGGAGAATCCCGGGTGGCCCGCGATGCCCACAACCATCCCAAGCATTTGGAGCATGTTGGGGTGGGAAGGAGGCTCAGCGCCAGTCCCAGCCCTGTGCCACCTGGAAGCCCCTCTCCCCCACCAGCGTACCAGTGGGTGATTCGAAATAGAGCTCTGGAGACAGAGCTATGCTCAGTGTCCGAAGGGCATGTTTGCAACACCAGTGTGAATGCTGAAATCCGAAGCTGCTGACCCAGAAGGGAATTTAGGGGAAGTTCTGAATGGTCCTTTCTGAGACAAGGTATTCTTTATTATTCATTTTTGTTCCTGAATATGGAAAGCAGGAGGAAACAGAAAATAGCCCCAAGGCAGAAGGCAGGTCTGAATGACTTGGCCGGCTCCAGTTCAACGATTCCCTCCTCTTATCAGTAAAGAAGGATTCACAAGGTCCTTGGCGAAGCTTGAAAGCTTGGGTCCAAATGGGTTAAGGAGGGATATACACAGAAGGCCTGGGGGTGGGTAGAGGGAGAACCCCTTTTCATTATTCAAGGACTGAAGCAGACAAAGGATCCCGCCTGGATCCCTGGATCGCAAGGAAAGGAGGAGAAGAGAAGAAAAAGAGGGGACTGCAGGCTGGCCCTTAAGGGGGTCTAACTTGTCCTGTTTGTGAACCTGAACTGCTGAGTAAGAGAAGGACGATTCCCAGGGCCCCCTGATTCCCGGAGTCAAGTCCGGCCGCTGCCCCTGAGGAAGGTGGCACCGGCTGCAGTGGTGTCAGGATACCAGCGGGCTGATGGCACCCTGAGACCCAAAGGTTGAACCCGAGTTGCCACGCTGGGCACTGCGGGACTGTCCTGTGTGAAGCGTGGTTCCCCAGCCCACCAGGAAGAGAGCTCTGGAGAACACTGTGAGGAAGGATGCTGCGGCCTGGGGCACCAGCCCCGGAGGCTGCGCCCAGCACGCGGACCCGACAGGCGCCCACAGCACCCACGGGGGCGGCGCCCGGGAGTCAGCGATTCCGGCCGAGGGGTGCGCACGGAGGAGGGCGCCCCCCGCCCCCCGCCACGGCCCCTCCGACCCGGAGCCAGCAGGGCTGACGAAGACACGGACCCCCGGCCAGCGTCAGCAGCGGCACCGGCCCGGTGGCCCGAGTCGGCGCGGGAGCGACGCCGTGGAGCCCAGGAGAGGGACAGCGGCGCGTCGCCGCCGGGTTCGGCGCCCCGGGACCCCTCGGGCCTGCCCGTGGGGAGGAGGCTGCGTCCCCGCCGGGCCCCGGAGCCCGTCCGGGGACCAGGCGGACCTGCGAGGCCCCCTAGGTGGCCGCCACCGCCCCCGGCCGCCGGGGCGCAGGTGACAAGCGCTCGCGCAGGACGGCGACCCTCCCCACGCCGGGCGCGGCGCCCACCTGAGTACGACTTCTTCATGGTGCCGCCGCGGCCGCTCCCAGGGCAGTGTGGCGGCGAGGCCGCGGGGCGCGGGCTCCTGGGTCGCCGATCCCCGGCGCGGGAGGCGGGCGGAGGGGGAGGGGAGAGGAGGGGGGGAGGGGGGAGGGGCCGGCCGCCCCGCCCCCCCGCGGAGGTGCGCGCACCGCACCGCCCCGCCCCGCCCCGCCCCGCGCGCGCAGCACCTGGCCGGGCGCTCGGCCACGCGGCGGGGGAGCACCGGGAACTCGGCCCGGGGTCCCGCCGAGGCGCGTGTGGTCCGTGCACCGGGCCGCGACCCCTCGGCGTCCGGAGTCCCGGCCCGATGGGTGCGCGAGCGGAAGGTGCGCACAGCAGCCCCATGGGACCGGCGGGCTACGGGGCGGGCACGCTGGTTTATTGAACCCGGCAGGGCAGGACGCATACTTAAGTACCGTACACCACTTCCTACTTGCCTGATAATCCAAAGGGCGGACTCTACTGGCCACCCGGGGCCTCACTTTGCGCCTCTGTAAAATGGGCGTGCTGGGCCTGATGACAGTTTCTGTACCAAAACACGTTGGCATCCCAGCTGAGCTGCGTCTGCGCGGGCCGTTGCAGAGGGGCAGACACCGAGACCAGCGTCTTTACAGTTCGGGTGGTTTACACGGCGATGCACGAAAGAATTTGCTTTACTTTTCAATTCTTACAAATGGTGTTTGTGTTTTCCATAATAAAACGGTTTTCTTTTTTTAGGGGACATAGGAGCAGTGATTAATTGTGACTGGAAGGTGGTGACAGTTTTGCCGAGGTGGCGCCAAAACATGGTTCTCCAGAATCGGTCAGAATTTGCCAGGTAGCCAAGGTGACGGGCAGGCGGCCCGTTCCCGGCAGCGGGCAGGGCAGGGCAGGGCAAGGCTGAGTCCCGGCTGCTGTGGTGCCTGCCTGCCTTTGCGCCCAGGGGAGAAGGAGCTGGGGCGGTGGCGACGCGCAGAGAGTGCTGGCGAATTCCCCGCAGCCCGCAGGGGACGTGGATCACACCGCCAGAAATCCCCTTCCCTTTCCCCTCTTCTTACCGGTACTTCCTCGGGGTCCGGGATCCCAGAAGCCTCGTCACTTCTAGCCGACAGTGGGAAACCTGTTTGCAAGAGAAAGAGGCGCGGTTGCCCTGAGGTGCCGCTGCGGACACGTCGCCCAGCCACAGCCTATCCAGGCCCCAGGCCACGCGGAGCTAATGGGACCAAGAGAGGCGCGGGGGACTGGGAACCCCTGAGGCTGAGCAGGGAGAAGGTGCGGAGGGGAAGCCACAGGCGCACCGCTGCGGGGGGATTTGTGGATTGTCCCGGATTCTGAGGGGTCACACCCGCACCCAGCTCCCCTCACAAGGTCCTGAGTTCAATTCCTAGTACAAAAAAAAAAAAAAAAAAAAAAAAGAAAGATAAGAAGCAAAAACCTCAGAAGAAAAAAGTTATAATAGGGGAAACTGGTGTGGGGGTGTGAGTTAAGTTTTGTAGGTGAAGTCTCTGGGGAGTGGGTTTCTTTTTTTTTTGTCTTTTTGAGATAAGGTCTCGCTATGCAGTTCAGGCTGGATTTTGAGCTCACTTTGTAGCCCAGCCTAGTCTCGAACTCGCAACAATCTTCCTGCCTCAGCCTCCCGAGTGCTAGGATTACAGGCATGAGCCACCATGCCTAGTGGGAAGTGGGTTTCAAACTGACACCTAGGAATCGCCCACCTGTTGAGGGACCTGTGCTAAAGGAATGGGATTCTTGCAGCAAATGAGAGGAAGATGGGGTGTGTGTGTGTGTGTGTGTGTGTGTGTGTGTGTGTGTGTGTGTGAAAGAGGCTTTACACCCTGCACAGAAGGAAGGGTCTTACCTCCTGTACTTTTCTGATACCTGGCCTTGGGACTTCTTACCACAAGGACCTGTGTTCCCTCCCTCTGAGTCTGGGAGTGCTTGGGCTCCGCTGTGACCAATGGAACAGGTAAAAGCCATTTCCACGTCTGTGTGAGAAGGGTCATGTGGCCACTGCCTTGTCTCTGGGCCCCTGACCCTGGGAACCTTGGGCTCTGAACATAAGTTGGACCCCAAGACCCCACACCCTGAGGGAGTCCCTGGGAAGTGTATTCCCCGTTGACCCTTCTGTCCCAAGTCACCCAGGCTCAGCAGCATCCTGTAGTGCACGTACATCACCTTCTGGTCTCTGAGGCCAGAAACCCAGTTCGATCCTGGCCCAAGGTTTTTCCCAGCAGTAGTTTGGGTGGTGGCCAAGGCTTTGCATCACCTGAGGCCTCCACTGGGGACAGAGCCACTGCCCAGCTCAGTGGTTCTCAGCAGAATTCAGTTTCTTGAAGGCTCTTAGCCACCAAGGGCCTCATGGGGTTTTTTTTGCTTTGTTCTGTTTTGGATTTTGGTGG